TCTATTAATTCTTCAAATTGTCTATGATGGAATTGCTGCGGTACAAACTTGATGTTGAGGAACACTTCACATGAAACTTCTCTAACATTTACTGGAACAGCAGCAGAACTCCATTCCCAAGCAAACACAAAGTTAACTCTACTGCCACAAGTTGCTTTAGGAACGTGCATCATCGATTTGAGTGTAATTTCCTCTCTCACTCCTCCCTCCAAAAATTAAATAGAAAGTTTATATAGCATTTCACCTTCCATCTCCAAGGATGACGGTCATCAGAAATCAGAGAGCTTGATTCTTTCAAACTAGTACTACAGACCTTAAAGGAAGAAAGAGAGAGAAGTAGGAAGATGGGATAGTCAGAGAATAGAAGCAGGACATGGCAAGGCAAAAAATCCTTCACACAGAGACTAGGGAAAAGCACTATAGGAAAGTGACCTCTGAACAAAAGCAGTTTTTTTAGTCAGTAAATTAGATTATGTTATTTATGTCTTACATTGTACATGCACATTGCTTACAGGGAGGTCAGGGTACACAGCATTTTGTTCTTATAAATGCTGTGTAGTTATATAACATTCCTTTTATATACCATTTTCAGCAACTTACAAGTTTTCAATATTATAATGAATGCAATAATGTTTTCTTCCTTTACTTTCTCACCTATACAGTCTAAAACAGATACAGAATTTTTAGAAAAGCAACCATAAGAGAAATAGTAGCATAATATATATTGAAGAAGAGTACACAGCATAGTGGCATAACATTATGCTTCTTTAAAGTTACATTTACTGAGCTGGTTAATCAGTTAAGAGGATTATTCATTTTGTATGTTAAAAAATACTGTTAAAATGTGCTTACTTGAAATTGTTGGGCATTTAAATTGTGCAAACTTTTGCTCACCTGATTAATAGGTAGAAAAGGATGAAATTTATGGAGAGCAGGAATAACAGGAGAGTAAGTAGAAGCATATACAGGTTCCTATGACAAGGACAGAAGCAGAGCAAAGGAATTAGAAAATAACTGGACTACCAGAAATGGAAATGGGGGAGAAATAACTCTTCTTTCCCTTATTTCTTACTAAATCTTTTGATCTTCTAGAAATGTTTTCCCTGTTGGAAAGCAGAGATCAAAAATGTTGTGATAATACAACAGCATGTTTACCAAAGCCATTCCATGCAGGAATTATCCAAGTTAGTAAGAATATCACTACAACCCAACACAGAACAAAACAGCACAGCTGGAAGATACACTTTTTGTATGCTGATAACTTTTATATGTCTCTGTTTTCATGCACCATTAAATTGATGAACCATGTCAACCACAATGTGAATAACTTTGCTGCAAGTTTAATCAGACCCTGCTAAACAGCAAGTCATCTATTTTCTGGATGAAAGGAAAGAATGCTCGCTGAGACTGGGAGACTCAAAAGCCATCTGGAAGGATTTGCTAAACCCAGAGTACTCAGTGAAGGTGAGCTCACCATTCTAAACACAGCCTACAAATAAACCCTGCCCCAGAGCTGGGCTTACCCAAAGCTGATTAGACATGGCTTTATCAGCTTTAATTCTTCTCCCTTTCTGTAGGTTAAAGCAAATGGGGAACATGGCACAGTGGATGGAGAAATGCAGTTATATTAGAGTGGCTCAAAATGAAGCAGAATAATTAGTTTCAGTTTTGATGAGAATGTAATAGAAGCACTTGGTGGAGGCATATATGAAATGGACAAAACTATTACCACAGCAAAAGACTAATATTTTGCTTAAAAGTCACTTTTCAAGGGCTTACCCTATCTAAGATTTTTACACACTTCATCTCTGAGTAATTTTGAAATGATTATTGAGCCCTAGCCTTTAACACCAGTGCTGAGCTGCAATTTAAACATAATGTAAGAATTAAGTGTCAGTCACTGCTTTAATGCAACTGCAGTACAGCTGGTAATCACATTAATCAGAGACTCTGTTAAAAATGGTTCACTATAAAATAGAAATTTTTATTCCAGTAAATCTTCCTATTTTGATACTATGGAAAGATCTTGAAGTTAATGAATTTTTCTACTCATGAAGAAATCCAACAAACTGCAAGTGTTCCATCCAGCCTAAGATGATGAAAACAAAGATAATAAATCCAAAAAATTATTCCGAAATAAAAGAGATTTTTTTTTCCCCAGTAAGACATTCATCAGTGTACAGTTGTTCCCCTGATGTTAGAGCTACTCTTTGAATTGTCCAAATATGTTTTACCATATATATAAATAACTAAAGAAGTCTCACAGCTTCCAAAAAATTTTCCTCCTCCTGTGTGCAGCAATCATCAAAACAGATGCTGGACCTCCAAGTAAATCAACTTTCCCCCTCATCTGTATCTGCTTGAGTTAATTTCTTAGTCTCTTTTTTTTTCTTCTAGTTTGAGGTTGCTCTGTCAGCTTTTCCATGAATTTTATGGTGTTTTTTTACAGTTTAGTCTACATACAAATGACTATAACACATTTGGATAAATTTTTCACCCTGTAGACACCACGCAGAAGCATTTTGACAAGAGACGATCAAACAGCACTATTTAATGTAGTTATTTTGTTAAGAGCATGAATCTTTCCACTTCTGTTGTTTATATGAAATCTAAATGTACTTAATTTCTACTTCTAATTTCTGCAGCTATGTTTCAATAATCAAATCTCCAGAACAATTTAGGTAACTTTTTAAGAGAGAGACACACAAAGACACACACACAAAAAAAACCAACTAAAAAGGTGTCTGACTACATTAATAGGAGCATCATACTGCGACTAAAAACATCAGGCATTGTTTTGAACCAGCAGGGCATGACAGAAGTTTACACACCCTTGCTGTTGATGCATGACTGCCATGGAAATTGTCTAACTAACTCAACATTCAGTAGTCAGTACAATTCCTGCATTTTTACTGTAATCCAGCAACAGAAAACACTTAAGATTCTGAAGCACACCAGAGTCTCAAAGTTCTACAAACAGACTTCAATAGCGCAGAGCTTCATGGTCCTGAAAGGATAACAGCCACCACGCTGGTTACTTGTCAAAACCAGTATTTCTAGATTTAAGGAGGGCTAACATGATGTCTTGTAAGTAGTGTGGCCACCTTAGTAAAGTTTTACATATTTCTCATGCATCACATAATGAATCAGCATCCCAATATAATCAATATAGTTTATGGAATTGTGTATCTTACACACCCAAGTTTTCATCCATAGGCAGACATGAAAATCCTTTGATTTAGGCTCTAAATAGCCAAGAGCTAATATGAAGTATCAGAGTGGGTGACCCAGTGTCACAGCAACTCCTCCTGCTAGCACTGCCACTTCAAAGCTTGTATCCCTCCAGCACTTCATGCTCCCTTACTTGCTTTAAAAGCCTGACTCGTGCTATGCTGAGTGAAGTGGCTGCACATGGTAACGCAGCAGGGAGGATATGGGTGCTGAGGGGTGAGGAGAGAGAACAAAGGATTTGTCTCTGCCTAAATCTTGGCAGCTGTTTAAAGCTTTTTCTCAACCCCATTGTCTTTAGCTGGAGTACATTTGTTATCTGATCTCAACAGTTGTCATTTTGGAGACTAGCCTGTTAAAAATGGACCGCAATTTTGCTTTCCTCCCTGGAACGATTTTTGCTTTAGGACATCTTTCAAACTAGCAGCTGGATTTTTGAAGAGGTCCACAGGGCAAAACCAAAACAAACCCCATGAACCAAACTGCAAAAATCAGCTTTATTCTTTTCTATCCATTTAACACGACTGATGACTCACATGTTCAGGCACAGATTTATCCTCAGTACTGACAAACTGTGTCCTTACTTGTAATGCACTGATGGAACAGGAGACTTTTTGTTACTGTTTGCCTATACTAATTAGTAGAAGCAGTATTTTCACAACTAAATATTTGGATCCAAAGATTACCTTCCCCACTAGTAAATTTTGTAACACAAATTTTATTTTCATTTGTCCTCTGTGAAGCACTCCTTTAGAAATTAAAGGCTTTTGAGACAGCTTATTTCATCTGATTGAGAAGGAAAACAAGTCTACATTGGTCCTGTACTTTGAGCCAGGAGACAGTCCATTTTGAAGCAAATCTCCCAGTCATCCTCACTTTCTGCACTTTGGTTCACATTGTAGAATGCACAGAGTTTTGCATGAAACCAAGCTCTGAAGTGCACTCCAAGATCCCCATGTAACACCACTGCTGCTAAAGGCAGTCAGGCCACAGGACCAAGCTAAATTTAGTCTGAAATAAAATTTCACTGAACCAAAACAAGCAAGTATGGCACAGGTAGCAGGTCTCCACCAGTAATTATTTGGATTTACAGATCCACTCTTGTTGGGCAACCTAACTTACTTATGTACAGACATAATCAGAATGTGCTAACAATGTGGATCACCCTTTCCTCTACACCTTTCTATCCATCTCCTTCTCTATTCACTACCTGTTGTAAGACAGATAAAATCTTGGTCCTGCCAGTTCTGGCTATTCACAAACAGCTAAGATCATGCAAGATAACCAAAAGCCAAATGGCTCATGAATGCTCTAGGACTCAAAATCACTGGTCAAAAGTGTTTGCATAGAGATAACACAGTGTTAGGAATGGGACATTTTTACAAACTCACCTTTATACATAAGAAAACATCTAAACTAAGTATTAAGGCAATATCAGTGTGGGCGTGGAAGGGGGAGAGGGAAGAGGTGCAGGAGAAAGGGCTTAAATCTTTATACCTGTACATGCTACAGAAGCCTTACAGACCCACTTACTAGTTCATTATCTCCTGATGTGAAGACACTGTAACCAGTATTACACATCCCAGGACAGTGAAGACATTCTCATTAAATAATCTCTCACGTTGGGAGAATTGTTTTTTAAACAAGCCTGACAACAAGAGGAGTAGCAGGAGCTAGCAGTTAATATTAGGCATGCCTGTCTAGTTGGATGCCTCTTCAAAAAGCAAAAGCATTTCAAACAAGATGTTTCTCCCAAACAGGGACAGAGTTACCTTCTTCAACAGCTGCTCAACTTCTTGCATCTGTGCACTACGATCAGTGACAGGCACTTTTGCATACTCCTGCTTTTTGCTGAGCCTGCTCTTCCAATCTTCTTCACCACTCTTCTTCAGCAGTGCCAACCTACAAGGAAAACATGCCAACAGGTAGCTTTAAACACTGTATTTCCCATTATCCTCAAGAGATAACCTTATTGTTTCACTAATGCTGCATTCAAGATAATCTGAAATTAGGATTTCTAGCATTAACTAAATTATTTACATTTCATACACATATACAAAGCTCACAAACAAACACCAAGCCTTATACTGTACATGTTGAGTGGCAATCATCTGTCAAAACACAGACATCTAGACCCGAGACAAACACTCCAGTTAATTTGTATCATCTGTGGAAATTACCAATACAGCCAAAGGAGACCAAGGTACAACACAGATTGTCCTAAAGTAGATGAATAAAAAGGTCAGATTTAATAACTACTTTTTTTCTCTCCATTCTGTCACTGAGGCACAGCAAGTGAGTAGCTTAGTTATGGATGCTTATCCCGTAGACGTCCAAAGTTAAGCATATGTGTCCTACCTTTGGTCTTCATTGTACTCATTTATTAAAATACTTTAAAAATTATTTTATTTAAAGCCCAAGAAGAAAGAGGTCTGTTCAGCAGGCACACATCAATTAGGTCTCATCAGGCACATCAAAGGACAACTCTGCAGTTACTGCTTTCATTACAACTCCAGGGGCTGAAGTTACTTATCAGACTCCCTGGGATCACTTTGTCTGTCCTTGCTCAGCCCAGGCATTGCTGTGACACAAATCAGCAGCACCAATGCACTAATAACCTGGTGCTAACTACCCTGCAGCTGTGAAATCTATCAGCAAGACTCAACTTGTTTAAAGGAGGTCAGTAAGTGGGCGCTGTTTCCTAATCTTGAGCAACATTCTGAATACAGTACAACTGACTGGCTGCAGTGGGGGCAACATACAGAGATTAGTTTCACTAGAATTGATATTTGTCCATACAAACCCTGAAGTGACTACTTCTAGGGGTAGGGGAAGTCAGTCAGGAATACAAGGTCTATACAGGCATGAAGATCTCCAGTTTACCTTCCTCAGATATTAACATTTATATGAGTTTTCTACCCTTCAGAAGTCATTCTTAGTAATCCATAAAATGTGTATCTGCAGCACTTGTGCAAACAATTGCATTGATCTACTCAATAATTTTTTAGTTGAATTAAGCCTTACAACACGCCTTTCTCAAATCTACAGCATTTCAGTAAGAATTACACAAAACCCTTAACCCTATTAATATTTGAACAGGTTCAGTAGTTAAACACCTATTCTGACCACAAGATAAGGAAATTCTTTTTCAGAGATGTGATTACTGTTACAGCAAGTCTTGTCTGGAAACTCTGAGGAGAAGGAAAGGGTAGAACCAAAGAGGTGTAGACAGAAGCCAAGTTTCAGGCAGCTGCTTCCTGCAAAAATCCAGGGAGTGCATCCATGCTACTGACATATTTGGGGATGATCAATTGGGCCTAAGGCAGTCACTTGAGAAAAACGAGGAATGCAGAAAACAGTAAATCTACAGAATACAATGGCAGTAAGAATGTTAGTATTCAAGAAAGCAGTTATTTCCTCTCTTCCTGCCCAGGCAGGCAGTGCTGGCAGGCTTCACATTGCCTGGTTGCTTCATACCTCACAGCACGGGATGAGTAGGGGTGAGAAGGACTCACAATAAGGAGTTGAGGTCATGGTCATTGTTTGCAGAAAGGACACAAGATTTCACTGCCCAGAACTAATCTTCTGGAGTGCATCCGTGCATGTGTGAAACTGTGGAGGAGACCAAGATGGGACTGAATTGCCACCATGTAATGAATTATCTTCAGTAGCTATGTTCTCTCAAGTCAGTTTTGCTTAGAAATGACCTGTGATAATTAAAGCTGGAAGGCATATTGGTCAGCTTTGGTCTAAGCCGGGTTTGTTTTTAAAAATGTTTACAGCTACTCAGCATAGTGGGCTTTTTTTTTGTTGCAGGGTTGTTTTTTTTTTTTAAGCTAACATTACTGCGGGGTATTTGCTCCAGACCTTTGACCCAAAAAGCTTGCTTGATCAGAGAGAGAAAAATCTATAATTCTAAGAATACTTCTCTGTCTTTGGAGATTTTGTTTTCTTCTCTGCCATAAGGATGGTTTCATACCAGCCCTCCATTCTTCGCTGGGATGTGCAATGAAACAATTGACTCCTACTAGTGAGAACACACATTTGCCAGATTTGAGGAACGAAATCACCACTTAAAAGAAACATGTATGCTCTGTATGCCAATTAAAACTTCACTGCTGTATGGAACCTAAAGCCACGCATTTCTTTCAAACAATGGAAGTGGCAATTAAGTCAGACTGCCCTGACTCAGCAACAACTGAATGGAAGACACCCTTTTGTATGAATAAAGATGCAAGATCTACTGAATTGGTTCCTAAAAGCAAGCCCACCAGCTCAGCAGTACAGAGCAGCTGATTCTTTGGAAAGTCTTAGAAAATAAGGCAGATATTAAGTCTAACCCTTGGATTTGTCTAAGGCCTACTGCTTATTAGTTTCATTGCATACCTCTAGTTTTCTGCTTTTATAAATAATGAATAATCATTCATTAGTCACTTTGACAGTTTAGACACACTGCTTTTGCCTCCAAAAGTTCCTTTCCCAATATGAAGAAAATAAGTTCTACTCTTTTCTTGAAAGAAGAAAGCTTTTAGTGTGTCTGCTCATCTTTGACAGCTTGCTCTGCATCCTTCCTTCACTTCCTACTGAGATAGACTATGTGACATCAAGATAGAATGATCCTCATCCCAGAGGTGTCAGGACGGCCTCAAAGCAAAAGCTTTCAGAGCTGAAGGCAAAATGCTGGACAGTGAATACAGAAGGGAAACAGAAACGAGATCTGATCAATGGTTTTGCCTAAACAAAGACAGCTGCATGAAAGGCCTTGGCAAAAATCCTGGCAAAAAATGTCCAAAATGACACATCTTTCTTCTGTGGCAATATTTTAGTATCTTAGTTTCTGGTCATCTCCTTGAGCTAGAATAAACTGGACATAGTTTTGTTTTTCACATGTTCTCCCTTGGCTGCACTTAACCAGTTTTTTTGGATAAATCATAAATCCTGGAGGGCAATATGAGATATGTAACTACAAAAAAGAACTGTTAAAAGAGTGCATAAATTCAATATAGTGGGGACCAGACTGCATAAGAAAGTATTGCTCAGGCATCTATACATCAAAAAGGTTGAAAACTAAGTTTAGGATAAATTCTTCCTCAGAAGGTGAGAATGATGGAGGAGGTTCACCAGAAATTAATCAGATGTAGCTTTTAAAATGGTGATCATGGCATGCAGCTGAATTCTACAGTGGAGCTGACAGGATGGACTTTGGTCTCCATAAATGCATAAAGACAGTAGAAGAGAGTATAGGTTTCTTTCCTCCTTAAAAAATCATGATTTTCATTCTTCTATATAATATAGGTAATTCTGGAAATGCCAGCCATACACTCACTGTACAAGGATAGTGTTAGTTCAGTGAAGCAAGACTTTGTGGAAAATCACTTTGATCCAGACCAGCATTCATGTATCCTGCCCAAATACTACTGCATGTGTGGAAAAGTTGTTCTTCCATAAGGTGAAAGAATGTCTGACACAGCCAGAAAAATCCACTGGATGGGAAGATGAAGTTAGTGAATGTAAAAGGAAAAAAAATCAAAAAATAGTTAATCTTTAGCAGAAATGTTCTTTGATGTTTATGAATACTTGGCATCAACTACAGCCAAGCAAAAGAAACTTACTGGTTGTATGTAGTCTTTTAATTCTGGGACAAGAAGTAGACTACTATGGTATTTTGGAAGGCTATTTTGATACCAGCTCAGTCATTTACAGATGTTTGTGGAATCATGGTATGCAAATTCCTGACAAGACAGCAGGCATTTTCTTCTGTCAGCTCAGGGACTGAGAGAGTCCTGGTGAAAGTGGCTCCTGATTGTGTGACTGACTGGCTTCAGTTCCTCAAGAGATCAACTCAGCTGAGGCATTGAAGTGTTAGCATTGAAACAGCTGCTAAAACTTGGATCTTCCCTTCCCTCCAACCTCTTTCTCCCCGCCAGGATCAGGGATGGTAGATCATTTACCACCTATAAACCAGAAGTTATTGGTCTTAAATCTCACCTGCCAATACAATTGAGATATCTACAGGAGGCGGATGGGAATGAAAGTTGCTTTAAAGAAAACAACAGTAAACTTGAAAAGGTAAGTCCAAACTTCAGAAGGGACATTAAAACTGCACAGCTGCTGTAGCTGCCCTGCACCCCCTTGTGTAAAGGGGTTGACAGGGAGTGAGGATGCTCTGTGAATGAGAATGACTCACATGCCTACTAGAAGCACATGAATTTAAGAAGCAAACTTTGGAATCACGTTTTAAAAGGAAAAAAAAGGTTCAGAATGCCTAATATCACACTCCCCTCAGTAAGTGAGGGAATATTTTTAAACAATGAAAGTTTAATCAGGCAGCTATTTTCATTTATTGGTTCTGCTTTCACTGCAGAAAAACTGAAGTAAAGATAGGCCAACTAATCGTAATTCTACTCGCTGGACCACTACCAGTTTGGGACTGAGTTTATACTCTCAAAGTTTTAACTAGGTTAGAAAAACTTTTACAAGTACTACAGCAGCTATTGGCACTTCAATCCTGAACTCCCACTCTCGGCACAAATGCAAGATTTAACATTTTGTTTCAGATCAGAATGATCTTGGTTTGGAAAAAGTATTTCTAGTACTCCTATAAACCTGTCCAATTTACTATCCTTTAAAAATTCCTACAGTCAGTTCCAAGAAGTCAAAATGGCAACCATGTACTTCTGAAGTAGTGGGGCAATATCAGAGTCTATCTGTGACTCCCTCTACTCAGCTTATTTAAGGGACTCCTGTAGAGCAACAAGAAATGTTTATTAAAATAAACCAGAATCACATTATACCTGTTGTAACTGAAAGCAGAACCTGGAGAAGTATATTGAGTATATGAGTATAAATGTAATTAGAACATGTATATTTTACAACTTTAATTTTCTGAACTATTCATTGATTATTCAGGTGGCTCTTTCAAAATCAGGTCATTATTATGTTCTCTTAAATGGCAATTCTCATTCACCATCATCTGCTTTATAAGCATTTCAGGCAGATTAGCTGCATGTTTCTGCTGCTAGTAATAATAAAGCCTAATAATCATTACTTAGCTTTTTTAGAAACAGTTCTAAAGATTCTTTTTATACCATCATAAATATAATAACCCTATTTATAGGGATCATTGGAAAAAAGAAAGAGAAATTTAAGTACCTTTCCTTAATTGACATAGTTTTGCTGGAATTATCAAGGACATCCTCAGCTGTTTGTGCTTTGCTCTCTCCCATGGAAAACATCTCACAGGAATTCTTATAAAATTTGCCTTCCAATTGTTCAGAAAGCTCCTGCAGTCTACAGGATGCTGCAGCTCCTGTTTGTGAAACTGTCCTCATGGCTGATGTGCTGGTGAGTTCAGAAGAAGGCTCAGCGTGGTCTGCCCATTCAAAAGAGAAGTGCTGAATTAGTTCTATTCTCAAAGACGCTTTACATTACTAACACTGAAGAATCAAATCTGTATTTTAAACATTCACATCACATACTGTTCTAACAGGGAGAAATCTCTGGCTGAGTTGGAGCACAAAGATTAATTGTGCAGTAATACTTGCTGCAGGGAGTAGCCATTTGTGCCTGATGTTCACATGAAGCCACAGAATATCATGTTCAACACACAATTCTGAACTTCATATGGAAGAGGCACAAACTGCTGCTCCCAATCATCACAGCAACAGGAAAATGAACACATGAAAGTGACAGGGAACAAAGAGCAGGGGAAGAGAAGCAGACAAAATTTAAACAAGAAAATTAACTATTTGGTAAAACAGTTTAATCCTTGAGTAGCATACTAGAGCATTTAATAGCTCAGTAGAGGTATTATTTTCTAGGGGGGTGTTGGGGGCCCTTTTGGGTTTGTTTTTTTAAGCAGCAATTAAACCACAGGAAAAAACTGCCTTCATGAAAGAGAAATGCACTATTACAGTTATCCTTAAAGAAATATAAGTGATCTTAATTTTTCTTTTTGAAGTGTTATGAGCACAACACCCCTCTGATATATGACTGCTCCTATTATATCCCAGTCTCCATCTCCCCTGCAGTCATCAAAAGCTAATTGGATAGACTGGATACTGCTTTAGAGAAATACAGGCAGAACTGTACCTTCCTCTCTAAGGCTGTGTCAAGACCATTAAATTCAAAATAAATTAACTTCACAGAATGAACACAAAAATGTTTTTTGTGCTGCAGAGTACTGTGATTCTGTCACCCAACACAATAAAACAGAAAACTAATACAACATCCTTCTAAATTCAACAGAATAGAAGGACTTATGCAATGACCAAATTCACTGTTTATTTCCAAAGTACTTTATTTAAAGATAGGCAAGTTTATTTTTTAAGTTTATATGCTGTGCATATAAAAAATGTAATTGCTCTGAGAATTTTCTGGTTTGTATTTCATCACCACATTAAAGAGAAAATAATATTAGTTTTGCAAAACTAATTATCTGAAAATTATACTCATATTTATGTATGCAGATATGTAGGTAATTCATAACTATATATGCAGAATAAGGCAAAAAATTAAGGGCAGATAATTGACCCAGAGCAGTAAGTTTAGTTTGTTCAGAATTTTGGAGGGCAGGGGCAAGGTCAAAAAAAAAAAAAAGAATAAATCTTAGCTTCAGCATATAATACCACTTCTTTCAAAATAAATAAATCTGAATAAAACTGAACCATCTTTAAAGACAGAAAAATTGAAAGAATAAAAAATAAAAACTCTATTTGTATAACTTAATACTTCACAGATATTTCTCTGCTTCTAAGCAGTGTTAGAAAAAGGAAACATAACCAGCCTTGATAAAGCTTGAAACACCATTTGGTGAACGAGACCACACCAACAGCAAGTAATTACCACACCTCTTTGCCAAGTCTTGCTTTTCATAACACTGTCCAAATCCATCTTTTCTTCAAAGGACTGGCCTTTTTTGTCTTCCCATTTACCTTGCATGCCAGTATCGATTTCCTTCTGTTCCAGGGGCTGAAGAAGTGCTTGTGAACTAAACAGTTCCAAGCTGCCCTTCCTCAGGAAGCTGTATGTTGTCTCTTTATGGTGGTCTCCTGTTTTTTCAGGAACAGGATGTGTGGTTTCTTCCTCAAAGGAGCTGTACTTTTTTATTTCATTAGCTTCATGTGCTAGAAACCTCTTTCTTTCTTCTTCATGTTTCTTTGATGCTCTTCTGCTTTCTAGTGCTTCCACTGAGGGCTGCCACTGTTCTGACTTGTGTGTGTGTTTTCCTGAGGAGTCCAAGTTTTCTGCTGCAGAGTGGAACCTGGTGGCAGCACTCACACTTCCATCAGTCCTTGCCTTCCCGGGCAGGTCCCCGAGCAACGGAGCAAGGGCAGAGGCCATCGCTGAAATCGATGTTGCAACTGCAGATGACAGGGGAGCAATCTTTCCACTTTCATTTTGTACCTATGAAGGGAAAAAAAACAAACAAACAAAAAAGAAACCCAAAAAACCCAGATGGGACTTACAGGCTCTGAAATTATCGATTCCACAAACCAGCCTAATCACATCAGTTCATCAAAGGTATGTTTTCATGTAAATATTGAACTCTATCAGTACAGAATAGAACAGGTAAGGAAAGCAACAATGCACCTGGAATTTGTCTGCAGATGGGTTAATTCCACCCAAGGTAAAAACAACTGCACATGAACTGCAACATCTTTAGTAACAAAGGCTGTGTGTGGAACATGCAACATGACATGGTGTCAGTGCTCAGGACCTGCAGCAGTGGGGGAAGGCATTAGTTCAGGTTCCAGATGCTGGATGACATGCCATGTGCCCAGGCTAATCACCTGTGCATCTCAACAGGGCTCATCAGCTCTGGCACAGCTCTGCTCTTACACAGCCCTGCAGCTCCCAGCCCTGGTGACTGCTCAGCACCAGGGAGAGACTGTTCTGTGCTGTCCTAACCCAGGGCAGACATTTCTGATGCTCCTGCCACATAAATCACCTTCATGCAGGACTTTTTCAAATATAAACATTGGCTGTCATGAGCAAAGTATTTGAGCCTAAGAAGCATATTAAAAATACTTCCAAATTTATTCTGACAGCCCCCACAGTGGAACAACTATGTTTTCTGCTCTTCTAACATAATAATTTTGTCAAATTTTCCTAAAACCAGTTAAGATGCATTTTTTTTCTGAAATGCAGAGCTTTCCTTTATCTTCTCCAAAGGAGACAAAAGCTATGAAAGAGAGTGACAAACATGCCTCATATACATCTGGAGAGTTTTTTTGTTGTTGTTGTTGTTGTTTTCTTAAACTGCAGAGCTAGTGAACAGTGTGCAAAAGGACAGACAAGATCACACCAGTAGGAGGAAATCAGCTCAGAACCTAAAGTGTGCATGCAGATTCCATAAAACACGAACAACAATCATTCATTAAGCAAACTGGAAAGCAGAGCAAAGACTATGTTAGCTCAAAGATTCCAAAGCAAGATTAAGAAAATAGTTACCAGTTTATTTTTTTTCCATTGCATCTATCAGAATTAAAAATTTAAAGGAGATCAGAAAAGCGAATTCCTTTTTAATTACAAGATATTTACATTTTCAAATATGCATTTTGGGAATATAATCTCTAATTATCTATTCTGATAGCTCTCTTTTGCTTTTTCCTAGGAAAACCATATCTGCATCTCAAAACCCCCAACATTCCAATGAACAGCTCACTATAGAAAGTCTTTCTGAAAATACACTCCCACTGAGCTTGCTTCAGAGGCAGCTCTGATTTCCTGATTTCATTTGCTAGGTTCAGAAAGATGACACAACATGCTTCCCCTGATTTTCCTTGCTTGAAAAGCGTGTTTGCTCTGTAAGTCTGACAAAGTAACGTGACTGTCACTTCTTCCCCATCTGCTTCAGCCCTTTTCTGTTCACCACCTTCCAGCCCCCCAAACAAGTTAGTGACACAATCATTAAAGAGGCCATGCTGTGACAGTGATTGGCATGTGGAAAGTGAATGGAAAAAGGACTGTGTAAGGTCTGGAAATCTTGCTTAAATAAATCTGTCAAGCATTTATTACGACATTTCATATACAAGTGAAGTAGGCATCAAGTACAATTATAGTCTGTACAGCTTTGCACCAATATGTTTAGAGTAATTCTGCTTTCTCACTATCCTGTTATTATAAAATATGGAAAATGTATAATCATAAATGAAGCATATAGAAAGAAAAGGGTAGGAACTTTCTAACACTCAGATTTATCCAAATACCGAAATATGACACGCACAGGAGTTGTGCTTCACTGTTAAAGTGATTTCTTTTAAAGCTGTAATGCAAAGGGACTGCTGTTTCTGCTATTGTGAAGAGATCTAAAAGACCACTTCTGGGCCACCTTATGCTGAGGCTTTACTAAAAAGGCATTCCTTTGCAGTTCCAATTAGATGAAATATTCCAGAACAGGAAGCCAAATTTCACTGCATACATAAAATAATTTCTCTCTGACTTCCTGAATTTCAAAAGTATTCTGCTTTTAGGGAAAAAAGTACAGATAAAAATCAATGCCTCCTCCCAGAGGAAAATGACAGACCATGTCCTTACTAATAATGGAAGTATATTGTGCTTTTAAGGAAAGAGCCTAAAATTGCACATGACAAAGCTCCAAAAATGCCCTGAAAATACACCTAAAGCAAAATGATGTCTCAGTTTTTACCCCTTTGAGCAGGAATTTACTTTTAGACAACGTGTAATACTTTACTGGAAGTGACACACACACTGTGAAAGGTACAACTTGCACTAGGCAGGAAGTCGATATACTCGCAAATTACTTAAAAAAAGAAAATCATACAAAAAAATGTGAACCCTTCAGGAAATGTTGTTCCTCAATGTCAGAAGGCTGCTTCCTGACAAACTTTTTGCTCTGTGTGTAGCTCAGAGCAAAGGAAAGGCCAGCCTTTATGGTATCTTAAACTGAATCTGTTTTCTCCAATGAAAAGAAATGCAAAAGAGCTCTGATGGCACTTACCTGCTCAACTTCTCCCAGAGTGACTGGCTGAGTCTGGTAACGAGCATTCATTCTCCTGTGCCTCAAATCTCCCCGATTCCTTGTGGAGATGGCCCTGGATACTGGTTGAGACAGTTTGTTAAACAAAGCCATCTTTTCTGCCAAACTTAAGGTGGAAGAATCTGGTTCTTCAGACTGATCTTGCCCCATCGCCTCTTTGGCTGCTCTTATCTCCTCTTTAGCTAAGATTTTTTGGTGTGCTGATGCCTGCAAGCTGAAGAAGCAGAACTAGAAATTAGTTTTGGAGAAGCCATGGTGCAGTTCAAAAATCTCAACCTGATAGAAGCAGAAGATCTGCACGTGAAGCACAATAGCCAATGTAATATAGCAGCCTAAGTGGGTATGCAGTGGTTCAACATTGGCATGATGAATTCTAATTCAACAGCTGAAGATTTAAAAAAAGTTACAGTTTCAGTCGAGAATTCATTTGATTAGGACACAACATTTTTTTAAGAGGGAACTCAAGATTGAAGAGAGATTTTTATCTCTTTATACAGAGTACAGAGCTATGGAGAGACATTTAAGATGCCTTTAAAGTCCTACAGTGCAATTTATATAAAGTTAAATTTTATTGAAAGCAATTTGTGGACCATATATGATAATAACATTTAAAAGACAGATTTAAACTCCAAGTTAGTCTGCTTTTAAATTAGAATAAATTGCAATGACTCTTCTAATCTGAAGTGGAACAGAATTCAGACTGGCTTTTGTTTTGAATTATCTGGGATAAATCAATAACAAAAATTAGTTTTGAAACATAGTCCATTGATTTTGAAGATTGACCAATGCTGAAGGCAGACATATTAATTCATAAAAGCTGTAACTGCATTTGTCTCTACAATAATGTATTTTATTCACCTTTACTATAAAAGATTTTATTGTTCAACTTCTTCCACATTTACGAAATTAGTAGTATTCTCTAATAATTTCTTTTCTGTCATGGTCTCTGCTAATATTCTCTCATTCAGAACAAACAGTATTCTGCAACTTTACCTATAGGTGGTGCAATTTCTTATATTTCCTTTAATTTGGCAAGCTAAAAAAATATATGTAGAGACAGACAAAGGACATGTACTCCTTGTGAAATCAAGCACTCAGCTGTGCTATTTTCATCTCAGGATGACATTACCATACAAAAAAAATTACAAGAGCAAAGAGGGTTCTGCTATGTTTGCTTACATGCAAATTAATTTCTTTCAGAAGAAGAATATGCTTCTACAACAGGTTAAGTGTGGTTAGAAGGGTCCTGAAAACAGACGCTTGACAAAAAAAAAGCTGCATTGCTTTATCATGCAAACATGAATGAAGGTGACGAGTGTTTTAAATATTCTTGAAACGAGTATTGACTTGACACATTGAAAAGGCATTCCAGACTTTAAAGATGCATCTGCTATTGAGGAATCTTGTGCTCCATGTAACATGCATGTTTACCCCCCCAGTACCTGGTAGGTTGTACAGTGCTCTTAACTACAGTGGGACTAGGTACTCTTGTCACTACTGTGTGGGTATTCACAGAACGTGAAGCAGGGGTAGTTTCACTTTAAAGAATTGCCAAGGAGGGAAAATTCACAGGGAGAGAGAAGAAAAAAGCATTAAGAAAAGCAATACATTAAGTGTTAACTACAGAAAAGACCAAACCAAAACAAAACAGAAAAAAAAAACCAAACAGCAATCATTTTTAATTAACTGAGTTATCTGCTGTGACATTTGCAAAATAATACCAAATACTTTGAAAGAACTAAAAACCTAGAGGAGCAAACAGGCTGTCTCTTGAAGTTATTCTTAACCCATAAAGTAAGCTACCTTTCAGCTGACCATTAGGTGAACATCCATTCAATTCACCATTGTTTAATTTCCCCCCTCAAAATGATTTTCCCTTTTCCAGGAAAACGGCATGATATATGACCAAAGTGCAAGAAAAGCATTTCCATAAAGTACCTTTGAGATTTCAGAGTGTAAAAAGTTTTCCCCAAAACATATACATTCCATATGAAATTGTGTAGATTTCCCTCAGCACAAACTATCTTTTTCATTTGGGTTACGAAACAATGCTATGATTAATCTCGTTTACCTAATCCACAGGTTCCTAAACTTTCTGCCAAATTACAGTTCATACAAGTTATGCTTTACTAGTCCCTCTACACTTAAAAAGGAATTTCAATACAGTTTCCCCTGTGGCTCTCAAAGCCCTTAGCAATAAATGTTTTCCTCGCTGCAAAGTTATAAGCACCACAGATATGGAGCTCATTCCCAGATTTGAAAGCAGGAGCTGGAGTTGGAGCCAAGACATGCACAAGACTTACGTGGCTGCAATGACCACCTCCTCACTGGTGATGGGCTGGGTGTGAGACCTGTCCTGCAAACGCCGCATCCTCCTCTCCACTGCCGAGCTTCTTGCAGGTGGCTTGGGAATATTTTTCATTTCAAATGATTTTTCCATTTCCTAACAGGACATATGTCATAATTAAAACCATGGAAGAAAAGTTCTGAAACAATACTTTCTTCTTAGCTTTCTTGCATGCACAGCAGTGAAGTTCCCAAATGCCCATCTCTGAATTAGAAGCAAGATGCAATTGCACAGCAGGCACCGTGGAGTTAAAACTAGCTACACACTTCTCTCTAAATGACATTCTTAGAGCAGGCTTTAGAGCAACCTACTGTGTAGGTAGGGAATGAAGTAAAAAACCAAAAGTTATGTAGCTTGAACTTGGTTAACTGCTTTGTACTTCATGATAATGCACTTTGGGTTCCTTCAGCATCTTGTATTTGAAATGTTTAATTCAACATCCTCTTTAGAAAATGCAATACTCACTCTAAAAAGGAGTCTCTTTGCAGCTACGCTTAGTTTGGCTCGGTCATCCAATTTTTCTTCATCTACACAAAGGGAAAAAAAAAGGAGGCTGAACATAATGAATCAATCTCATATTAAGAGTAATGGGGTTTTTTAATATGAATGATTACAAACCAGCAAATAAGCTGGCTGTTTCTCACATTTAACAAAAAACTTATTGTGAACCCAGCTGTGTAAACTTTACCTGTTTTTACACGTATTGCATCAAATCAGAATTCTTGACATGATTTGCAAACAAAATACTTGTCTTCAGGACAGTTCAAGTCCTTTCAAGCTATCTAAACAACATTTGATGAATAATCACACTTATTGCATCAGTCTATGAAAACAAATGGACTAAGAAAGTAAAGACTGCCTTAAGGGTCAATGAAGAATACTGAACATCTATCTCCTACTAGCTGACCATTCTGGTTACCACCTTGTGTCCCCATTTCTCAGAGGCTAAATTGGTATCCTCAGGAGCTGAAATCAGCATCCTCCAGATCCAACAGCCAGCATCTCAGAGCTGCAAGGAATATCAGCTTTCAAATAGCATAAGGCATTAAATCTAAATATAGCTACTCATGAGATTACCTACTTAATTTGTGCCAGACTTGCCAAGGGTGACAAGAGGGGAAGAGAAGCAAGATGGCAGACTGAATTCTGTAATTCAATAACCTGCATTTTGGAACTTCCTTAGCCAAAAACAAGTTAGAACATCACTTTCACATTATACTTAAGGCTTTCTTTAAATTTTAAGTCCTAGACCAGCGACTAAAACTGACCAATGATTAATTTTTTCCCAACTAGCTTATTTATTGTCTAAATTAGGACAAAACCCAACCTCAACTATAATGAAAAGTTTCAAGTCATTCTCCACTTGACTCCCATTTGAAGTTTGGTATCCACAAACAGACTTTTGGACTGAAACGAGTTTGAAATCAAGTCTGTAGTAGACATGGCCCAAAGAAAAGAAGTACTTCAACTACATATCATAGATATTCAATTTTCAATGGATTTTTTTGTATTATCAAACAGTTCTTCAGTTAAAATAAAACACATCATATCCCATTTTTTCCTTGGAAAACAGTACAGCAACATACCGTCAGCAGTTGGTATTTCTGCACACAAAATTGACCTAGTGAAAAATTATCAAACAGAAAAAAGTTAGCTGGAAACAAGACATCAAAAATGAAATTCAAATTCAATCTGAAGTAGCAGGACCTCAAAGTCTTAAGAGTGGGCGAATTTATCTATTTTTCAAGTTTCAGAAGTGTCCACTTGGGAACATCCTTTAATAAAGCATAAAGGCAAGCATTTGCAGCCAAACTTAAATACAATAAAGGAAAAGTACTTCTAGTTCACCTTGCAGAAAATAAGAGTCTAAGATTTGCTGCCAGCTTTTTAACATAAAATAGGTAGCTTTGGTGGCTTACAAAGAGAGTAAATGATAAAGCAGAGTAGATGGAAAGGAAACCCTTTATATAAAACCAAAAGAATTTAACGTTCAAACCAGATGGCTACAATACTTTATGATGATTCACTGTTCACTATTTCAAATGGGAGGAATTTGCAACAAATTGGTTGGGGTGGGGGACGGTTAGGTTTCATTTCATAAGAAGTTATAATAAATACTTGATGGTTTTTAAAGACGAACAATAACCTCGCAAAATGTTTATTCTAATCGATGAACAAATCTTTTCACAACCTTGTTAATATCCACCTGTGCTAGAACGCAGAGCCATGTACGTGCCTACCTATCTGTCTCCTTTCGTTCTGCTGATGTTATAGGCTGAGTTTTAAATCTCTCAGAAGTCTTTCTATTTTCACCAGGAGTGAAATAGCGCCTTGCTTTTCGCGGCCCTCTTTCACGGTCCCCATTGGCAGACACAGTACTACCTGCTGTTGACATCTCAAACCGAGATTCACTTTCAAACCGCACGACAGAGAGCGCATAGGAAAGAAAATAGGAGAGAGAAGTAAAACACAGATGTCAGCATCTCAACAACTCCCCAGAGATCACTCTGCATGCTCCTCCATGCGCAGACGAACACATTCCAGCTACCCCACATCGCAACTCGCACGAGCAAGCAGAAGCACAAAAGCGGGATCCAAACCACCTCAGCCTCCAGTACACACTGGTGAGAGCTAAGCTGTGTGCTTTAAGTGCCGAACAACAACTGCTGTTGAGTGGGTGTAATTTTGCCAAGGACGTGCAAGTTTCACACGAAAATACGAGTGAAATGTCACCTACAGTTCCGTTTTCTTGTTGGCATTAGCAGACTCCAGAAAGACATTACGGAGCTGGGCAACAGAGACTTTTGTGTCAACCATGCCAATCTCACCATTTGGTGGATTTCCTTCCACACTCTCTTTACTTTTAAAAGGTTCTAGCTTAGTAGTGACAGTATAGTCAGACATGGAGCGAGTCAGGACCTTATGCTTTGTTGTTGACACTTTCCAAACAGGAGCCTTTGCCTTGTCAGGCTGCAATACAGATCCACTCTGTATGTACATAACAGCTTCACTCCTTTCTATGTTCTCAGGGGTCTTAAACTGCTGCTCAGGGGCCTGCCTCTTATTGCATTCCAACTCCCTCTGAACTTCTGAGTTAACTTTCGACTTGCTTGCAAAGGAGGAACTCCCCACAGGGGTCTCCAATTCTCCTTCTCCAAAGAGGCCTTCATGGTTCTTCCCTTGCTTGCGAATCTCAGATGGCAGAATTGGCCTCCTGCCTTTGGAAGCCTGTTCACCCTCCAAGGAATCTTCTTCATTAGGTTTTGCTCTGTAACCAGCTGCTTCTTTCTTTTCACTCTCTGGTGTAGTGACTGCTGAGGATTTTGTTCCCAGGCTAACATTGTCTGGCGGGAGCAGGCTGCCAACAGGGGTGTTTGCTGGTTCTTCTGCTGCCATCAGCTGAGCTGTGTGAGCAATGCCAGCAGGCTGGATATAGCCATGGATTGGCTGGCGGACGGAACTGACGGGCTGATTTATAACCCTATCAAAGGCAGACGGTTCTGTCTGAAGAGGCATGTAGTGGGCTGGCACTGGATGGGATTTTCTCTGAGATACTGTGTCTGTGACAAGTTCAGGGCTTCCACGAGCACTTTCCTCTTTCACCAATTTCTCTCTAACTTTTACTCTTTAAGAAAGAAAAAGGATTAAAGCTGTGAACAGCAATACCCAATCTGGAAAGGAACACAGACACCTACTGTGGGTACAGACAGGAATGTTGTAGTAAAATAAAAAACAATACAATAAAATAAAGCAATGTTATGATGCAACCCCTTCCTCCCCCCAAGTCTTAGCAGTAACACTGCTCAAAACCAGTCAAGTGATTCACTGGCCCTTAGACATGCATGTTTCCTGAGAAGGTAACTGTGCAAGCTCTGGGAACATACAGCATGTTCTCCTGAGATCACAAGTGTGTTTGCAAAACAGCACATACCCATAGTCTCAAACAAACAAGATGATCAAAACTGCTTATTATATTATCAGAGCATTGGGTTCAGCCTGCAATTACAAATTCTACTGGCAGTTGTGTATGCAGTCAGATATTTGAAGATGTCTAAATACTGGGAAGCTTACGTCATACCAAGATGTTGCTGCATTGGGGAAAGGGGTGAAAAAAACATTTTATCTCCATCTAGCCCTTCAGATATTTTGCCAGAGGTATCATTTAAGACATCTGAAATGTCACGTGTAGTGTAACCTGTTCCAGTAAGTGAGAAAAAACATTGATAGGGCAAGTCCTAAACCTGAAAGTGAAACTATGGCATGGCTGTTGCTCTTCAGAGAGCTTGCAGGGAAAAGGGCATTTAAAAACCAAAACAGGCATTCTGTTTTAAAATGTTTCAATACATTCTAACATGCAAAACTTGCAAAGAACACTTGTTCCCAAAAGTTACCTTACTTCAGTGTGTTTTCTAGAAACACCTCTGGACTTCAGCAACATCCATGCAAAACAGAGTTTTATTTAACCTTTCTAAACTGAATACAGCAGCACAGTGGGAGGCAAGCACGTGCAGCCAGGGGCAGCCTTTGCTCTGGGGCTATCACTGCAGGTAAAGCTCTCCAGCACTTTTACAGCCTCGCCGAGGCTCAGACAGGGCGAGCGTCTGTAGACAACGCACACAGCATTAAAAATGAAAGCCCTGTACTTCCTTCCCTCCCAAATGGGTATGAAAAAATAGTTTTAGTTCTGAGGAAAGAGAGAGACTCAAGCTAGGAAACTAGCTCTCTGCTTGAAAGCAAGTAATCCAGCTCAAAGTATGTGCAATTCCAGACTTGCTACCAACAGACTTTTTGGAGTTTATATCATTAAGAAATAATATTTAGGGAAAAAAAGGCAAATTATCTAAGAGAATAATTAAGGATATCCAAAGTTATTTGAAGCACCAATCTTTCTAATATTTTGGTGCTTCTTACCTCTGAAGATTGATACACTTGTCAGGGAAAGTTGTTTAAGCACATAAAGTGTGTTAAGTCTGAAGAAGTATTCTTTAAACTACAAGTACCAAGCATTGTCCAGAACATCCACACCAATGTTAGTACTGGGTTATAGGCATTACTTTAATCAGGAACATGAAAAAGAGACTTCCTGCAATGCTTTTCATGGTGGGCTCACTATATGTGTTACCAAACCAGGAGAAAGCAGCTGCCTGTAGCTTTGTTCAGGATTTTGGTTTACTTTTCCATGTAATTATTTTTTTACTTCTCTTGTACTATCTCCTTTGGAATTCAAGGAGTTGCTTGTAGGAAATGCTAAGATAGAATGGTGTACAATATAAAAACATGCTGGTTTGCAGAGTACAAAATGAGATAAAATAATAAATTATAAAATCTAGTGGAAGCCAGAATTATAGCAGCTGTGGAAGAAGCTTGGGGAATTTGTACTTCTTCATCAAAGTACCAATTTGCTCTAAGTTAGAATAAAAGCAGATGCTTCAGAAAAGTTTCAACAGCTTTTTATTCACAGAAAAAACCATTTTCTTACTTGGTGCTATTAAAGGAAAATTAAGGGCAAGTGTTAAATGTCGATAGTAAAAGGAAAGAGAGGGGAGGTTTGTAGTCTGGTTGTTAGCCACACAGCTATGTTTTATGATACCTGGAGGGCCAGCTGATAAGTGAAGGTGTGTCCCCTTCCGAATCTTTCTGAAGAAACCATTCAGGTTTTGCTTTCCCTGCACTACTACAGAAAACAGAACTTCAGGTAATTTCTGAGATCTCAACACATGCTCCCATTATTTTTCCCAATCTCCCCTCCACACTTCTTTTTGTTTTTGATTACTCAGTTGCAGAGGACTGTTTTAGAAAACAAAAGCAATGCACACAAATCAAATTCAAAGGTGACAAACTGCGAAAGAAACTATTATATAATCCCACATATACAAAGTATTCTAAATGGTAAAGATTCTGCAGAATTTACATGAGAAGTGAAAGCAACTACATAACCTTATTTTTGCATTTGCCATTGTGGGTCAGTTTGTGTAAGGACACCCGAAAAAGTTGTTAAAACCATCCCTTTAATTTGTGATTTAAAGTAGTAAAGACTGCTGCAACCAAAACAAAGTAGTAATAGGAATTTAACGAAGTGAAAAATTCACAAGGCTACATCATATTTCCCAAGAAATTCTCAGGAGCGTCTGGAACGCCTCTGTCCTCTTGTAACCCTGTATCACAAAGCTTCAGAAATGCTCACCTGGTTAGCACAAGTCAAACACGCTGTGCCACTGGGTGACTTGGCAAAGGGAAAACTTAAGAAACAAAGTGACCCCTAATTTAATCTTGCCTTGACTACTCTGTTTACACTTTGAAGTTGAAAGCATAAAAAGAAGAGGTTTTAAAAGCCCTGCAGCAATGCAAGTAAGGGTGTTTGCAGACTTCCTACATAAAGTTTCTCATATAACTTCCTAAAGTTCACCTTCACCTACAATCCCCCAGCAACAGTATAACACATCAAATACTTTTAACCTTCCAAACATTGCCTGTCCTGTCAAATTAATGTTTACAAACTCACTCCCTAGAGGTGACAAGCATCCAGGATGTTTTCCATTACTTACAGCTGCATCTGAAAGAACTTTTCCATTGGAGAAGAGCCATTTGGGATAAAAACCCCAAATTAAGCTCCAGGACATATACTTCAATATTTCTTAGCTACTTTAATAAAAATAGTTGAAAAAGGTCAAATCAACAACTGTTCTGAAGATAAGAGTGTATTTGATGCAAGTAAGTTTAAATTTGAGAACTCACCTACCGTTGTCATTGAATCCAAATCTATCTTTGAATAACAAACACCAACTGTTGAAATGCCTTCTGTTTTTCCAAATGTTTTGAATCCCTAACGGAACTGACCAAATAGGAGGCAAAGCCTTTTCACAGAAGCTGACTAGAAGCAGTTATCTGGAATTGTTTTGAAGCACAGGAACTTCCTTCTCTCTTAATGTGTACTTTGGCACATTTTTATAGTGGGCATGGCCCAAGCAGCAATTATTTGTACTTGATCATTCATCCTTTGAAGAGTGCAATCAGAGGAACACAAGCCACGTTTTGAATTTAATCAGCCATTTCAGGAGCCAAATGCAGGCAATGTCAAATGATACCTTCTCAGGGATGGGTAACTGGATTAATTATTAAATCTTCTTAATACTGAAGGCACAAAAGCTTTCGTATATATTCCAAAGCGAGCTGCATTTATTTTCCAATTTAAGCTCAGGAAATTTAAATTTAATGAAACCAATTTTGTAGCCTGTATATAATGTGGAACTGACTTCAGAACAGCAGTCACCTGAAAAACTTGAGTTAGCCTTTTTTTCTCTTGCGCAAACAGCCTTATAGGAGGCCACCACAGAGTAACTTCAAACGGACTGCACGGACACAGTGACTTTTTTACCACTCAAAATCAGGGACAAGAGTTTCAGAGAGGTTATTCTTACATCTCTGAATATCATACTAGGGAGTACGTACTGGCACTGAAAGTGTCAGGGGTATTAAAGAATGGCAACATGGCCTTTAAAATACCACCTACTGCCTACCTGTGCATGCAAACAAGAGACCAAATCCTATATTTAAACTCTTGGGTGCTTTAAGTACTACACCACATCTTGGTAGGTGGAGATGGTTTCCTTCAAAAGCTAGACAGACAGCAATTAGGGGAAATTTGTTTTATGCAAATAGTGACCCAAGCCTGATAAAGAAAGAAATCTGAAATTAGAGATAATGCAGTCAGCAATATGTATTATATTATTACTTATTCACAGAATCAGAGAATAATTTGAGTTGGATGGGACGTTTAAAGGTCATTTAGTCTAATCCCTTTGCAATGAGCAGAGACATCGACCTTTTCTCTGGACAACCTGTGCCAATGTTTTACCATCCTTGTAAAAAATTTCTTCCTTATATCTAGTATCAATCTACCCCTCTTTTAGCTCAAAACCATTCCTCCTTGTCCTACAGGAAAGGAGGAATGTCCCTGTTACAAAGTCTGCCCCAATAATCACCTTCTGCAGCAGTGAAAGACTGAAATCAGATCTCCCTGGAGCCTCCGCTTTTCCAGGGTGAAGAACCCCAACTCTCTCAGCCTTTCCTTACAGGAAAGGTGCTTCATCTCTCTGGGGTTGTTTTGTGGCTATCCTCTGGACTTGCTCCAACACTCTATGTCTTTCCTGGGCTGAGGATTACAGAGCTACAGATACATTTTTCCAGGTGGGATCTCATGAGGGTGGAGAAGAGGGGCAGAATGACCTCTCTCAATCTGCTGACCATGATCCTTTTGATGTGGCCCAGGACACATTTAGCTTTCTGGGCTGCAGGTGCACATTGCCAGCTCATGTCCAGCCCCTCATCCACCAGTTCCCCCAAGTTCTTCTTGGCAGAGCTGCTCTCAATCCCTTCAACCCCCAGCCTGTACTGGTACTGCTGGGGCTTGCTCCAGCCCAGGTGCAGAACTTTGCACTTGGCCTTACCAAACCCCTCATGAGACACTGATGAGCCCACTTGTCAAGCGTGCCCATGTCCCTCTGGGTGATATCCCATCCTTCAGGAGTGTCAACCACACCAGTCGGCTTGGTGTCATCTGCAGAACTGCTGAGGGTGCACCCAACCCCCTTGTGTCATTGAGGAAGACATTAAATAACCCTGGTCCTCATACAGACCCTTAAGGGACACCACTTGTCACTAATGTCCATCAGGACTCTGAGCTGTTGACCACTCCCTGGATGCAACTGTCCAATCAATTCCTCATCTACTGACCAATCTATCCATAGCTCTTCAATTTAGAGAGAAGGATATTGTGGGGGACTGTGTAAAGGCCCTGCAGGAGCACACACACAGACATCTGTAGCCTTTCCCTTGTCCACTGATGTCCACTCAACTACAGAAGGCCACTAGATGGGCCAGGCAGGATTTGCCTTGATGAAGCAGTGCTGGCTGTCTTGAGTCACCTCCCTGTCCTCCATGTACCTTAGCACAGCTTCTGAGAGGATCTGTTCCATGATCTTCCCAGGTACAGAGGTGAGGCTGACAGGGCAGTAGTTTCCAGTATCCTCCTTTCTACCCTTTTTATAGATGGGTGCAATGTTTCCCTTTTTCCAGTCACTTGGGACTTCACTTGACTGCTCAGATATCATGGAGATATATTAGCGAATTCCCTCAAGACTCTGGGATAAATCTAATTGGTCCTATAGCCTTACTTTTGTTCAGCTTCCTCAGGTAGTCAGGAACATGATTTTTTTCTTATAGTGGGAGGGACTTCACTTCCCCAGTCACCATCCTGCTGTCCATCCACTCATGAGGTGTGGAAAGAGAGGTTGCCATTGAAGACTGAGGCAGAAAATTAGTTGAGCCTTCTTCTTGTCCATTGTTACCAGTTTTGCTTTGACCTTCCATTTCCAGCTAACACACCTAAGTCCTTGTTATGCATTGCATCCCTTGCCAATTTCAGTTCCAGCTTCACCTTGCCCTTCCTAATCTCATCTCTGCACAACTGGGCAGTGTCCCTGTACTCTTCCCAAAACACCTGTCTCTGCTCACTAACTGTGGATTTACTTCTTTAATAATTCATGTTAGTGCCTTTCCATTTTTTTCCTGATTTCTCACAACTGGGAACTGAGAGCTCTTGTGCTCTATGGAAAGCATAAATGGTGGAGTTTATACGAGTTACTTCAGTTTCTTAAAAACAGCCAACACTGCTCAGTATTATGCACATACGTTTAAAATTAAGTTCTCATTTACATAATTTTTAGTTGCAACATTTTCATTTCAGTTTTAACAATTATTATTTTCTACCTATCCACCTACCAAGAAATTAAAGACTCGCACTTAAGAGAAAATAATACTTTAAAAAAACTCTTAGTCACACATTGTTTTCAGTCAGCATAAGAATTTGACAGTATTTCTAGACCATACTGAGAAATTGTAATGTAAAATTAGTGAAAACTAGGGGTTTTTTTGCTTTTGGAAGAATCTGGTTACCCTATTACCATAGTAAATTTGTCAAGTCTGAAGCAATTCAGCATAGAATTTTAACTCTCCCCTCTGCCCCTTCATGCACATATATGCCTAATATTATCTGAAGGATTGACTATCACAGTTCAAAAGGGTTTTTATGCTTTCACATCAGGAAAACAAATCAACTGTTATTTCAACTGACCCAAGACACTCTTCAGCTTTTAAGTCTGTAGACTGTTTTATTTTGGCAGAAGCCATCATAAAGATATTCACTGACAAACAGTTTGCCTCTACTTGGAAGCTCCCAGTCAACAATTACAAGATATATAAGAAAGAAAGTTAAAGACTTGCTCTAACAGGTTATTAAAAAAACCCCAAAAAAACAGAACCCAAGGAGATTTAGAACCATAACTCCTTCAAATTCTAGTTTGTGTCCTCCCCACAAAGGGCCTAATTTTAGCAAAAATTCTATAAATATAAAGTGAAACCAATGACATAGCTAATTAGAGAAATAGATAGCCACTTCCTTGTATCAGACACACACTGATACAATAAACCCTACTAATCCAGCTTGAGACATCCAAAGCAACTAAATACATTCTTCAAGGGTAATAAATACATTCTCATTAACACTGTAGACACTGATGTAGAAGCTGATTAAGGTAAGGGAATCTACAGTGAAACAAAAAATAAAAATCACGCTTACCTTTGTCTGCTGTTACTGTGCAAGGGCTGGTCATTCTGCAAGTGGGTCGGTGAGGCTGCCCGCTTTGGTGAAGGGAGGGACTCTCGGGGGGTTTGCTTTGATGTTGGCACTTCGTTATAGCAGGAAGAATCTCGTCCAGAAAGTGAAAGGGAGACAGAACTATCCAAGGTTGCTGAAGGGTCAGAAGCCTGTCTAATGGCACTGTCATCTGCTTTTCTAACACTTTTTTCATTTGAGAGGTCATCTTTATCTTCATGGCTGGAGTACTCTTTGGAATCAGAAATCACACTCTTTGATGCCTTTGTCTCAGTCCTGGACAAATAGAGTGTGCCATAGTCCTTGTTTTCACCATCCTGCCTTTCACTTTTCACTCCCTTTCTTTCCACATTGTCAGGATCTTTCCTTGCCCTCGTATATCTGGATGAGTAGTCAGAATCCAAATCAGAATCAAGAGTTAATCCATATTTTTCTGCCAGCTGGCGTCGCCTCTCTGCTTTGTACCTAGCTATTCTCTCTGCTTTTGACTCTAGTTCCTGGACATCCATGTTTGCTGTACTGTACAAGGGCTCTGTATTACCTCCTGTCGTTTCGGATCGGTATCTGGATGATCTGGGTTGTTTTTCTACAGAAGAATCTGAAGTTTCCTCCTCTTCATTTGATCTGCCTGTCAAAAGTACAACATATATGAGCAAGTCCTTCCCAAAACTCCAAGCACCCCAAACACCACTCAAACTGAGTGAGCTAAAAGCTTCCTATTTTCTTATAAATCTAAATGCCTGCACATTATGTTTTTGCACTTTTGTCTCCAAAAGCACATACAAACAATTAAGAGATATATATTAGGAATAATTCTTTAATAAGTAATAGTTCTCAATTCAAATAGTTATTTTAAAGCAATAAGAACCATCAACGTTTTTCAAACAGGACAACTGGAGACTTAAAAGGCAAATTTAAAAAAACCTCAAACAACCTGACAGAGCTCTTCTGTAGAACTCTTCTCTAGGTACTGCATAACTGATAATGTAGCAAACATGCATTGCAAGACCTACTGACGTGTGCTACTTACCTAAGTGGGGGCTGTATGGGTCAGTTGCACGCATATATCTTGGTGTATCTTCCTCTAGTAAACGGTGTGTGACTGATCCTGGGCAGTTTTGTAGAAGCATAGGTTGTGTATCATTTTCAATTCCCTCTAAGCGCCTAGCTATTCTTTCTTTTCTGAAAAATATGTGAAAAATGTGAAAACAGGCATCTTGAAGATTCAAGGGCAGAGTTTCTATGAGGAGGTAACAAAACAAGCTGTATGTTTTATTTTACAGGCCAAAGACTTTTTTCCTTTACCTTTTCATTTCCAAAAAATCTCGGTTGTTTGGTTCAAAGAGTTTTCTTAATTCTGAAACTGAGATAACAAAAGATTATGTAGCTTATAAAACAGTAAGTTTCAGAAACTTGATAAAATACTTTAGAATAAGAAGGAACAGTCAAATAAAGTTCAGAAGTTTGAAATAGCTTTTTTCAGGAAATGAGCATTTTCCTCTTGTTTTCCTAGTTTATTAGGGTTGTGCCGTCAAAAGTAGGCACATAGGTGTCACCATCAAGTACTCCTCCATGTACTTCCAGGCTAATCCCAAATCTGATACCATCTTAGCAGTTTTCAAAATTTAGTATATAGTAGACAAGTTGTATTTTGATTAGCTGAAGTCAGGCTTACATGCTCTAGTAACCCATTTCAAAACTAGGCAGTATGGAAAATCTGCATATCCTATCTACTCAAAGGTCAAAGATTGACTATGTTTAAAGAGAAGCAGTAAGGACGAGGTTCCTTCTTCCTTACTTTCTTCCACACCCTTATATTGATCAAATCCCAATAATCCCAGTGAGTCATTGCAGAAGTGAAAATTACCATGCACCATCATGGTACTCTTGCACGGTTAGTCCCTTGCTACATTGCTAACTTTCCCTTGTAGTTTTAATTGGACATACTTTCCTTCTCTTCCCTGAACCCTTTGCTGCCAGCTGCCACAGTCCACAAAACAGTAGTGAACCACGGGGAGGCATGATAGGTGAAGCAATCCCTATATATACACAGATATGTGCATGTGCAAACCACACTGGAGCAGTGAGTGCTACACAAGTAAGCGTGATGTGACTTCTTACCACCAGAAAGAGAAACTCTCCAAGCTGTCCAGGGAAGCAGTGGACTGGGGTGAGGGTGTGCCTAACACACAGACATGCACATCCACACACCCCCGTATTGTGGCCTTGGCAAACACGGTGCTGACAGCTGTGTGCACCTGTTCTTGAGCCAATGCACCTCTGGGGTTCTAACCCTCCTGACCCAGGGATCAAAAGTTAAAGCAAGCCAAGGTCTACACCTGCTAAATCGGCAGAGATCAGAAACACCTGAGTCAGGACTGTCTACCTGACATTGTTCCACTGCAGAGGTAACCTATCCCCTTATTTTTCTTGCTATCAGACCTTGTTCCTCTAGATACTTAGAGGATATATTATTATAAATATAATATTATGGAAACACCACCCTTTTAAAGGTCAGATGCACCTTTTCTGTCTTCCCTCTCCTTCAAGAACTTAATATGCATGGCTTGGCTAGGGCTCCAGCTCAGCTGACTCATCCAGGAAGTTTGCTGTACTCAATACCAGTGCTCACATCTCATAGATACTGTTGACATTGACTGTAATATCAATGAAAAGTCTGAAAGTAGGACTACAGATAAATGTGCAGGATCAGTAAGAATGAACACATTCTGATCCTGAACCAACACCACAGCAAAGATGAACCCTTATGTTGTGTTTTCACAGACTTTTCTCTCAATGCATGAACAGTTTCCACAGTTGCCCTGTTTACTCAAGCTGTGCTAGCAGTGGAACTGTATTAAACAGAGAACTTGCCCATTTCAAACCAGCCTTCATTTCAGATCCACTCCACGGGAAATGATTTCTCATAAAGACTTTGCTCTCGCCTCCCCAAATCTACTTATGTTTAAATATGTTCTCCTAGCTATCAGAGATTTTCTGTTCCATCTGTTGGCTGTGTATACATAACATTGTCAAAAGAAAACATGTAATTGTCTGTCTTCAGACAAGTCAAAGGCCTCCAGAGCTCAGAGTTAGTAAAATCACATTTCATCCAAATCCCAATTCTTTTTTTCCCCTAGTCACCAATTAATTCATACAGTCATCAAAACCATCATCAGAGAACAGGTCTTTTACACAGCTTTGGTAAAGCCCTAAAGCTTCGTTTATTAGCAAAAGTCTTTTCTCCCCCCACTCCCAAAAAAGGAAGCTTGACTATAAGTTTTCCACATACAAGAAATGTGGAACATCCGAAGAACTCCCAAAGCATTAGCTCAACACTCTCTTGCTACATGCTAGCTGAAGTTCCAGAGATTCTACTACCACTTTACAGTCCTAAAAAGAGCACTGGTCTTATGAAAAATGTCTCCCAACACCTCCCCAAACAACATAGGACAAAAATAGCATGGGATTACTCTATGCTGCCTTACACTTTTTCCAAGCTCGAGATTATAGAAGTAATTTCAGCTAGGTTGGCCAGCATCTGCAGAATTCTTTTTGCGAAAGCAGTTCCAGCAATATTCTTCTTTTGGTAAGGTGGGAAAAAGAAGCACAAAAAAAAGCAAAACCAAAAGAAGATAAAATGCAGAAAGTCTTCTAGTCCAGTAGTTTCTTTCTGACAAATTTTACTTTAAAACATAAAAACCAGTTGGAGACATTTCACTCCTAAGGACACTGGTTGGCTCCTGTAAATTTAGGTGACCAGGTTTCTCCTTTTTAGTTTACAATTTGAATACATTGGTGCCAGTTCCCATCTGCTCATGGGATGTTTTCCCATGTGACCATCACAAACAACACCATGGGAGTGCTAAAGAACAGCAACACCTCTACCTAAAAGGTAGCACAAAAATCTGATTCAGCACATAAGAAAAGACTAAGAAGCTTAAAATAATTAATTTCACAGTAAAAGCTCCTTATCTAGATTACTTCATGGCAACACACCATATAAGCAACATTGGTCAGTTAAGGACAAGAGGAAGAACAGACACAGCTCAGAAACAGCTCTGAACTTGAGGTTTAATTTTAGGATGCTGAGCAGGATGCTGAGCAGGATGCTGTGGTAGGATACCCTCTGAGGTAAATTGTCAAGAGGCATCTTAACTTTGGTAACTGTAGTCCTTTGAAACAAAATTTACTTTGAAATACCATTATTTAGGAAAAAAAATATTGCTCTCCATGTTGTCCCAGAATGAAAAAGTACATTTGGAGCGTATCTTATATTTTAAAAACTCCTTAAATTAAGACGAAATGTTACTTATAGAAATATATATTCATAGAAATCTTTCAGAAACCTGCAATAGAATATAAACATGTTTATACTGAAAGCCCTCTTTGACAGCTGCAGAGGGGACGTGAATAAAGTTGCAGCCATGTGACAGCAGATTTATTTTTACAGTACTGATGCTGTAAATACTCAATTAAGCCTTCTAAAAGTTCATGATAGAGAGGGAGCATGTACATTTGTGAAGCCTGGATAGACATGGATCAAAAGGTTACCTGCCAGAGGATTAATTTCTCAGAGATGGTAAATAACCATTGCAACACAGGTACCACACATTTTCATTTTGAGGAAAATTTAACACAATAGCAAAGCCTACCAGCCTCATTCCTACTTCCTCCTCTCCACAGCTGGAAAGGTGATGGTCTTAAAACTAGTCTGGGGAAGCATTTATCTTCAGTTTATGCCAGCAAATGTTTATTGACATGTTCAATGCTCAACTGCAGGCCTCAGTTCAGTCTGTATCAGTTGAAAAGTAAACATATTCCTTCAATTTCTCAGCATGTGCAAATCTGCATCAAAATTAGGCTCTAGAAAGGACAAATAAATAGTATTTTCAAAAAGCCATGAACTTCAAGTAGTTCCCTCAGAATACAACCAAAATCTCCCACTGTTGTTTCTTAAGTCTGGTATACACCAAATGCGATGCCTTTATTATAAGAATATTTTTTTGAAAAATAGAAACATCCTGAAATAGAAATTACCTCACTGAGAAACAACTTACAGATAAAGTTTCTCAAATGAAGGCTCAATTAACTTGCTGGCCACATGATTGTAAGGCTAAGTGTAAGGAATAATGAGGAAATATGGATTATTACTGTCTGGTGCTCTCAGAAGTCTGTATTGTATAAATGCATATCACTCCATTCCATCATTTTGCCAACAATGTTTCTTTCTGAACATCCATAATGATTATATTTAAAATCAAGCATGTCACTTAAATAGCACTTAAATGTTATGCTGGAAGAAGTGCTTCTTTCCAGAGGAACTCAGGAACAAATGACATATAAAGAGCAAGCCAGTTCCTTTACATTGGGATTAGTGCATTTAGCCTTGTAGCTTGTCTGAAAAGAGTATATATCACTAGAACACACACACATACACAATTTTAATCAAAGTTCCAAGGTCCACAACACCCTTGAATGAAGGGAACCTCTCTGTGGCAGTTGCACATAGTTCTTAGTCAAATGTCACCCTCTATGGGTCAAACACATTGTGATTTTCTCTAAATAATTCAAGAGAATTATTTCTTGCCTCTGTATCAACTGTGTCAAATGATAAAGATAGAACTGCTGTTTTCTTCAGAAATTATTCATATTAAGATAGAAGTTTGTAACAAAAAAAAACCCCCAAACTAAACTCCATATGTACTGCAGGGACTTTAGCATGCAAGTCAAAATTCGAGTGCAGTCAGTTGGTCATGCAAGCACAGGGACTCCACCAACCACCAAAGTGGCTGGAAAGAGCTATGACTCTTAACAAGTCAGGTTCATATTTTTGAACTTAGAATTAATCTAACTGTACAAACAAACTCTCTGAAGTTTTGGATTTCAACTACTAACCTATTGAAACTAGGAAAACAAAGCTGAACTTTATGAAGCAGGGATGTAGGAAAAGAGCATTGTGGTTCATCCCCTCTTTCATCCTTCATGAATACTTCACAGGGAAAACTCATTTACAAAACATCTGTGCCTAATTGATTTTAACTGTGCCTTGTACTTGCATAGACAAAACTTCACATGCTGTTAAGTTGCCACTTGTGTTCATAATGTGTCTCCCTTACCTACCTTTTGGAAGTACTGCTAAGAGATTAGCATCAATATCCTTTGTGCTGTTCGAAAGCTCTTCTTTATCTTCAAATGAGAACTCCTTCTGAAAACTGAAAGCAACATCTGGTTTACAGAACTGTGGATATCTCTGCTACAAATCAAATAAACTCAAGACAACCAATTTACTGCAAGATAGTCTAACAGAGATACCAAAGAAAATATTTTCCCTAAGAATGAGCTAAGAAATAGCCCAAAGAAACCCAGAAAGCCAAACCTAACATAATTTGAAACTTGTTTGGAACTGACTGTGACACATTTTTGCATTAAATTACTGACTGGAGACTGCCTTCAAAATGCTCTACAAAGCCATTACATTTAAAATAATCTATATTGAATGGTTCTTCATAAATATTAACACATGTCATCAAATGCAGTACTGCATGTACATTCCACCTAGAAGCCTTCTGCACGACTACCCTGTTGTTACTGCACTGCTCTCTGGAACAGTTTACACAGTTTATAATATGCCAATAGGAGTATCAGATAATTTAATTTTATACCATGTCTTTTCAAAACAGGAAAACTGCCCATTTAGATGAAACAAATATTTCTTTAAGTATCTTCATTAAATATACAAATTTTAACTGTAAAATGTAGATGTCATAATGGTCTAAAGTATATACCAACTGTCTACAGAGACTTTTTTGGAGGAAATGTTCCTACTTGTAAGCAAGATTTCTTTTTCTTCAATCAATAAAAATAGAGAACAAATTATTGTATTCTGCAATTGTGACTATCCTTGCTGGGCATAAGAAAATTATAATGGTCTTAAAACCTTTACTAAACTCTGTGGACAGGTGTAACAGATAAATCCTCACAGCGATCCCAGGTTCTTCATTTTATCACAGTAGTGGTGTGCCATATGATTTAAAGTCATTCTGATAAGAAAAACTGCACAGTCTTACTGTTGGAAAATCCTTCCTTCAGACAGATTTTAAATGGCTGCTTTTTTTTCCAAAGGTATCAATTCTGTACTCACTATTTCCAAAAAACAGTTCTCATTGAAAGAGTTTTAACATATATTGACTAATATTTTTCATAAGTATTTCCCTGTTTATCATTTACAAATAACATTTCTTTTTAAGATATTGAGGGGAGAATAAAACCCTTGAAATGACAGTGAAGAAAGGGGCTATGTCACTACCAGGCACCGTGCCACCTGCTGCAAATTTCTCCAACAACTGCACTTAGAGAAATTATTCCAGGTACTGCCAAGAAAAGCAGTGTTAGCCACTACAGAAAATAACAAATAGAAGATGGAGAACTGCAATAAACTGTCATTAGAGAGAACTGTGTATCCTTACAGGGCAAACACACGGTAATTGAACTAAACAAAAATCAAAATACAATGAAAAAAGCACACAGCAGCCACAAGTAAGTGGATTCATATGTCATCTGAGACTGGGCAGAGACTCACAGTTAACTGGATGTTCTTGTGTGCCTGACCCCACACTGCCAACACTTGTAATTCTTACTAGTCTCCCAATATATTATTTTCTTACAGACACACTTTTGGAGAACCCTAGATGGAGGGATACTCAGTTCCCACTGAAAGCAGTTTCTACTCCTTTTAGCTGAGGATGAGTTTAAAAAATGCAAATAATACTGGCATAAGGCTATAAACCAGCCTCAAATTTATTCTGCCAAACCAACTTAATTACTTAAGACAAAAGTGCTGAAGGATCCAGCTCATGACTTTTGAATACCTGGGCTTTATTTAGCAGTGTCTCCACTTGCTTTCATGATGCCTGTGGCAGTACAGCACCTTAAGTTCCCCTAAAAAAGGGGCTTTGTACAGAAAAGCATTCACTCAACAGCAAAATCCTTGTTTAAATGAACCGTGCATGGACACTCGCCACCATGGCTAATTCCTATGTGAATTTCCAAGGGTAAAATCATAGAATCAGGACTGGCACTAGCCTGATGGTTCTACAAACAACTGTATTATTGGATTGCTTGTAAACTAGTTACATTCACTCCTGCTCCTCCCTCCAGGGAGTTTTAGGGACTTTGAAGGCAGAGATCCTTTAAACCCTGTTTAAATGTCTGTCACTGGGTTTCTATCCATTTGCTCTTGTGCCAGTGTTTTCAGTTATCTTACTTATTTTTTTAATAGAGGTTTTCTACATGTACTCAGATTCCTCAGGACAGGCTCCCAGTCTCATTGATTATCTGTTAGAATATTCTCTACTTATTCCAGTCTTAAGTAATCTTTTTTTTTATATGTGGTGACCAGAACTGGGTAGTCTTGATTCCAGACTTGGCTCTTAGCAGTACCTTATGAAAATATGATTTTTAATAGAGAAAGCATTATTATATGACTAGCTAGCTAAATGCTGGGATCTACAACACATTTGCCATTTTACATATACACTGTATTGGTTGCTCAATCCTGCATGAGAAACTAATATGCAAAGGCTTTGCTTTCATCAGTCGCAAGTGACAGAGAAATTTATCAGCCCCCAATGCACAACAGTGCACTTAGTATTATTACATTACATCCTTTTTCTATTACTCCTCAAGGTCATCCAGTTCTTCCTGTATGGGAGCTCCCTCCTCCTTTATACAGAGGGTGGCTTGCAGTCTTTGCTCACTGGCAGATTTCATTAAAATTCCTTAAATAACCACAAACTTCCTAAGCTTAACCCTTGCTGCACTACACAGCATCACAGGTTATCTGCTTTGTGACAGTCCCTTCACAGTTTCCCTTATGCCCTCATTTTCCATTTCCCCTCTGGTCAGACTGTCAACCATTACTGTTTATTTTTTAAAGATTAACCATTTTCATATACTATTTTACCCACAATTTAGGAGTTTAATCTCTTCAGACACTTTTTTCTTCTCTCTCCTGCTAAGCTGCAGGTGGAATTGCTTGTTTTAAATGTTTGCACATGAGAAAACGCAAATGTTTTAATCCAATGCATAATTACATTGCTTTCCCATGCACAGAGGATTCAGAGACAGCACTGCTCTGAAGATGACAGAGTCAAGCCAAACAATTGAGTATTTATAGACACATACATCAAATTAGTTCTAAAAATGAAAGCAGGCATATTTAGGACATGTCGCAGTGTTCAATAAGAATATTCATTAGGAATCTAAATTGAGTTGGAATGATACAGCAATTCCAAATAGCCAAAAAAAAAAAAAAAAAAAGAAAAAAAATTTTACAGAAGGCTACTCATCAGCATTTATAAGTGTTTAAAAAAAAACCTCATAAGCAATTCCTTAACAAGACTTTCCTTTTTCCTCAAAGGGATCTTTCCAGACCTCTCCCTGCTTTATTAGTTTCTCTGCTGCAGGAGCAGTCACAGCACCAATTCAGTTGCTTAAGCAGAGTCAGATAGTCAGACTTAGACTGCCAAATATATTGTACCTTCAAACTCATCCAAAACCCTCTTCTAGATATATCACAACTACATCCAGTCATGCTGTGAATTTAGGTGCAGATTCTGAGCAGAAACACTATGAAGTTTTGCACTTAATAGCTAGGCTGTGCACATTTATTATAAAATAATTAGGGAATACATGAGTTTCTCTAAACAAAAAAAACCAAAAAACCTAGAAGTTTGAAAAAATTATTTCCTCAAGTCCCTGATAAATCTGGATACTGAAAGACGAACTTATTGTCCTTTCCTTGCTTGAAATACAGTCTTTGATCAGGGTTCACGAAATGCAATCAACAGCATGAGGTTCCACCAGTTTGTTTCACACAGGATTTGTGTGTGGCTTGACCTCAGGTTCCCAACAAACTCATTATACTCTCCAATGTTCAGGAATTCAGATGATTCCTGTTAAAACACAGGCAACAATATTTCACAAGCTCAATGGTTTTCTTTAAAAACAATGTATAATGCAGGATTAGTAGAGTACTCCACAGACTCAGTAGTTGTACTGTTTGGGCAACTTCCAAAGTAAGTGCAAGCTGCATGCTGCACATCAGGCTGAAAACTTCATCTGCTGCAGCTGCAGCAGCATATGGTTTCTAAATAGCTGTCCCACTAACCTAGTTACATGCCCAAAAGCAACCAGAAGTTTGATCCAAATGCCACTGGTAACACTGACCTGCCGTCCCAATTAAAGCTGTGACATATATTGAGATTTTATGATTGAAGTACGAAACTGACTTGCACACCTGTCAGCTAGGTGCTTGATGTTCACTTATCTTCTCTTTCTCTACCTCCAGAAGAATGTCCTTCCTTGGACTCCTATGTAAAAGGTTCATTTTACAGTCATGTCCTTCTCTACTACTCTCATTTTTTCTTTCCCCTTCCTGCTTTGATAGCACAGTGTGTCTTGCACATCCATTCCCTCCATCTCTCTGCAGGACCTAAGAAACAACACAGCAGGGAACCAGGTGTGCTCTAGGTGTGTGCACTGACTGAAAAGAAGCTTGCAAACATGAGCCTGTGCACCTATGGCAGGTGGATTCCTGTGAAGCAGAGCCAATGAAACAGCTCGTTCCTGGGGCAAGGATCCATTCCCAACTCCTGATCTCCTCTCTGTGCCACTATGAATGAGTCCAGCAAGCACAGACATGGACACCCGAGGCAGTTGGAGCAAGGATGGGAAGAGAGAGGCAATGTGAGGTGCCTTCTTGCCTTCTTAACTGTCTAATGGTATCCCCTTACTCTGCTTTGTGGAACTGTGCCCTAAGAACGCAGACCACGAGGCAGCCACAGCCCTACATGGAAGCAACACCAGCCCATTCATCTCTGCAGAGAATGAGAGAATGAACCTCCTTTTCTTTCCCCCAGACTGCTCCCTGCAAGGATCTACAATTAATTCGCCAACTTCAGCCATCTGCTTTTACAGAAAGGTAAGTGCTCCAGGCTGGTTCACACTGGATGTCTGCACTCTGTCCATACCCTGCAAGGAAAGATGGGCATTGCAATGGCAGCAGGCTCAGTTCACAGTGGGACTTTCCCTTTTAGCAATGTCAGCTATAAAATTTAACACTATTTTAGAGGCAGTTGGTGTTTTCATCATTGCTTGAATCTGTATTTATCCTTTTTTCAGGAAAAGTGGTTGCTGATCCTCTCACAGAAGCAAGCTTTTGCTTAGAGCAGATACTCTGATAAAGCATTGAAAAGTTACTGCAACCTGCCATCTTCACTGGGCAAGAAAATCTCAACCTTACCTTAACGCTCTCTTCCTTAGGAGCAGTCGTGAAGGCTTAAATCTGATTGAGTTTCCTTTGGCAAAATCTGTGAAATAGAAAACACACCATGGTGAAGATGCTGTAATAAATGGAGAACTTTTGGTAAACTAGGTTATAGTTTCCAAGCATAGCCTTTTTTCCTGCAAAAGACTGTGCAGAGGCCTTCTCTCTAAGCAAAGGAACACCAGCTGGCATGTCCAAGATGGTGATAAACCAAAGCTTTGCAAAAATGAGTACAGACAGCAGACATATCAAAAGCATCAACACTTCATGGAACTGCCATGTTCTATTCCTAATATTTGTGGTGTAGCACTACAGTCAGGGATGATCATCTAAACTCATTGTTTTCCAGCTTATAAAGTAGGCAATGGACATGTTTATGAAGCACTCTACAAATGAGAAATGCTGCAAGTAGCAAGAGCTTTTTTGGCTGCAGCCTGGCAATACTATAAAAACTGCATATTCACTGCAGAAGCCAAGAGATGTCCAGCTGAGGATCTGTTGCAACAGTATTACACCACCCATGACAGAATTATTTCTGAAGATTGTCTACTGTTTGGAAGCTCTCTTTTTTTCTGAATAGCCTTACAACATGCATTTCACAGAGGAACACATGTTTACACTGAGAGCAAAATTGCAGAATTGCAGCCTTATGTTCAAAAAGCATGTATTACAAAGCCTCTGGATTCCCAAAACTGTGTGAACCACAACAAGCAATGGGCAATCTCCCCACTCTCTCCTAGATTAAACTTTTTCATTTCTGCAATCGAGTGCATCACCAGAGGGTTTAAATGATGCCCAGTGGCAAGGGGGACCAGTGTTCCAAGTACCCTCTCCGTCCATTCACCGAGGATGCAACCAAGAGCTCTACCAGCCAGGGAGCAGGTCCTGGTCTGGGACTGCTGTGCAAAAACACATGGAGCTACTGACAACTTACTCCCAATGAAAAATTGCTTTCCGTCCCCATCTGTATTAAATCTACTACCCAAGACACTAAATTAATAAACAGTTGGTCACTGACACAGCAATCATTTTATTTTTCAAAGAGAGACCCAGACTTTAGAACAATTCAATTGCAGTTGCACTCCTATTACTCTATCTCAGAGCTGAGATTTAACTATTTCAAGGAAGATCTAACTGCAAAAAAACTTTTTTTTGCTTATGCACAGTAATTTAAGTCTGGGTAGAATGTCTCTTATTTTTACAGCACGGGTTTAACGAAATATAGCTGACAAAATGGATCTTAAGTTAGAGAATGTATATTTTGTCTATGTGTCTTAAAACTTCTTATCCTCTTTCATTTCCTTCTGCCACCTCTAGAGGTATAAAGATTGAAAAAAAGCTTTAAAAAAGTAACAGAAAAAAGGATGATTTTAGCAACTTGATAAAGAAGCTTAAAACATGTAAAAAGGCATTTTTTAGGCATCTGCTACAAGTCAGTGCAGACTTCAAGCAGCTTTGCTAATAGCATTCTTCAACTTTAATAGGGAACTTTTTCCTGTTTTTGTTAACATTCATTTTCTCTTTCCATTAAATGGAGAATAAAGCACATAGATTACAGAGAAACATCTTGTTAGACCAAACAGAATATTGTAAAAAAACCAGTGTGGATCATATATAAATCATTATATTTTACACTACAGCATTAAAAAGAATACTCTGAGCCATATGGATCTTCTAAAAAGGCCAGATTTACATTACTTTGAGAAGACTATGTACTAACTTCCAAAGCCCAGCTCAGTATCAGCTTAGCTAATCAGAACCAGGCATATCTTAAATTTATAGCTGTTCTAACAGGATGCAACCCATCCTAGAATTTTTGGCACTGGAACAGCTGTCCACCATGAAAACCACAAGTAGACCACAGAGAAATTCTGCCTAGCCCAGCCAAAACTGGGGAGGGAATCTGAGAATGTTAGAAAGGAGCCTGCATTGCTTCCCTGGGAGCAGACAGGGAGAAGGGCTGCTAGGAGGGGCACATCAGCCAGTTTGGCTCTTGTACCCCTTAAACACATTCAGTAATATTCATACACACCACATCTATAATGCCTCAAAATCATCTTCAAACTTTGCTGTTTCACAGGACTGAGTCCCGATCTTCCCCCAAACACAGAAAAACTTAGCAGACAATTAAATTCCATTACACAGTTTTGATATTTTATGCATTTCCTCCTGTTCAAATTAAACACCATGTGGGGGAGATTAAAGTCCAATAAAACTTACTTGCCACAATATGGAAGTCTTAAATACAAACACAGGGGGAAAAGTAAAACAACTCTGCATCAAAAGACAATAAATATTCCCACAAAAGAAACATCAGTTTAGCAGAGTCTTATTCAATGGTTAATTTAAAGATTAGAAAAACACCCACAGTACTCGACAGACAGAAAGAAAATATTTACAACAGCATTTTGTTCTGTTTTTTACTGAGAATTCTAAACATGCTCATAATCATATTATAGCAATAGAAAATATTTTTTTTTCAAAATTAAGAGGGTCTCTACTGAAGTGTAAATCAGACTTGCTCACAAGTTTAACCATTTGTTCAATCGAGTTCTGCTCTCTCTTACGTACAAACTACCTGATAAAACCACTATCCATACTTTAATACATAGGAAATTTAAAATGCACAATCTAAAAAGAAAAAGTAGATGCAACCTTCCAGCGTTACTTAGTATATTTAAAGGCCCTAAGTCGGTGGCTTGCTAAGCTAATTAAAAGATCCATCTAATCGGATCTTTCAAAAGTGTCCTTTAGGAAATAACAAAATAGCCGAGGTGACTAACTGCATACTGATTGCTAAAGTACCTAATGCAGCTGCAGGAGAGCCAGTCAAACAATATTTACACATGCAGACATATACACGAGAGATTAAACACACAAAAACTGCATTTTCTTTTATCTACTTGGAACTCTTACCTTGCTCCTCAGAGTATTTAACATTTCCCAAATAGCTGGAGATCCAAGGATTTCTGAACATGGTTGCACAAACAAAGGATTCGGCAAAGAGAAACTACAATAGCAGCTAATTCTGAACCAGCCACAGCCCTCAGGCCTGTCTTAGCAATATCGTGTAGAGATTTTTCATAGCACAGGACTGGAGCTGTCAGGCTCTCGCGTCCCAGGGAGTACAGTAAATGCATAGCAATAGGCTGCAAGCCGGAGCAGCTCAAGCCAGTAATCAGATTACGAACAGAAATTAGGCACATGAATGCTAAAACAGATTGGGCAATGGTGATTGGGAGATTTATAATATTACCACTTCAAAGATCCAGCCAAATCACACATTATATTCCTGCAAAACGAATGCAGAAGCCCTAAATCCTCATATTAAGAAACCAAACAAACAAAAAAACCCAACAACAACAGAAAAAATGCCAAGAAGAGGAATAATTCCTTCATATCTCTAATCAGGATAAACTGCAGTGCTTATTTAAGAAAAACAGCACCCAGGCTGCCAAAAAATGGACTCTGATAATCATAGCATTATGCTTAAATGTTTTGCCTAACTATTAGTTGGAACATTTAAAACAGACAAGATTTATGGATAACATATGAGCAAAATTACTGGTGGGGGTAGGGATTTAAGAAGAGACACCACAGCTCCAAATATTTTAATTCAAGACAGAAGGTGAAAAATTGCACTAAAGTACTGTCTAGCTACCTTTTTTTTTTTTATTTATTAAACAGATTTGATGGATTTTGGATTGAAGATTTGGAACCCTTTTAGTTAATTCTGAAAGTCTGGAAATATTTGTTTGCAATGGTGCAATAACCTTGGCTCAGACACCCACATTGAACTACCTGATGGTCTGACACAGACACAAAGAAGCATTAAATGTGTGACTGAAACAGGTCCATGCACTTAACCCCATCCAAACAAATGGGGAAGTCTATCAGCTTCCCTCCAACAGACTTCTTCTCTTCCAAAAGATTTCAGCTACTATCAGTATTACAGGCTGAGACAGCTGGGGTGGTTCAGCCTGGAAAAGGTTCCAGGGAGACCTTAGAGCATCTTCCATTACCTAAAGGGGGCTACAAGAGAGCAGGAAAGGGACTTTACAAGGACCTGTAGATAGGACAAGGGGTAATGGCTTTAAGCTGAAGAGGGGTAGGTTTGGATATTAGGAAGAAATTCTTGATTGTGAGGGTGGTGAGGCCCTAGAACAGGCTGTCCACAGAAGCTGTGACTGCCCCATCCCTGGAAATATTGAAAGTCAGGCTGGATGGGGCTTTGAGCAACCTGGTCCAGTGAAAAGTGTCCCTGGCATGGGGGGTGGAATGAGATGATCTTTAAGGTTCCTTCCATTCCAAACCATTCTATGATTATATGAGTAGAAAACTCTCCATAGGACTGGGGTTGTCAGGACCATGAAAAGGTAGACTAGAAACACAAGGCTGAAGTTCTTGACTATTCTTACCTCTTTTTGTGATACTTGGTACAACAGAACCCTGACCTCTGCTAGGAACCTCAGTGTACAGACAAGATATGAGCAATGGTTTTGCTGTGAAAGGGCAAAAAGATATGAGCTGTGAAAGAGACTGCAAAACCACAAGTGAAAAACATAATAAAAAACCTATTGGCTGTTGGCTCATCATGAAATCGTATTTAGCCTATCTAGGTCATCAAAACACTGTTCTTCATGCTAACAAGTTATTGCAATGGATAGAAGAACATTCCATCTTGTCTAATGCACCTGGTATTTGTTTTAATGTATTTATTTTTAAAAACATAAATCATGTTGGAGTCAACCTAATTAAAGCACCTTTTCTTAGCTGATCTTTCAACAGTCAAGAGTTCCCTGGAACAAGAGTCACCCAACACAAGAAATATGGCCTTGAAGCCTCTGGCTCATAAAGTAACATTCTCTGTTCAGAAATATTTGATGGTACACACCACTTTTCTTTTCTTTGCCTGTAACCTCGCTACCGCTGGTGTTTAATTCTAACCACTCCCAGCACTACCAACAGAACAACAACACTGCTGTGCACTCTTGACCAGCTGTGAAAGCCTCCATGTACTTGAGCCTAATATATACACAAAAT